ATATATATATATATATATATATATATATATATATATATATATATATATATATATATAAACATATAGATGCTTAGAAAATGCTTTTTCGTTTGTTTTCTTTCTTAAGACTTAACAGTTAAGTGGAACTAGTTTAATGGTGCATAAATAATGAGACTCGGACTAATCGGCATTTTGTCAAAATTAATGTTACTACAGTGTTTTATCTAAAATAATTTTATTTTAAAAGTCTAATCATTTATATATTAAATATATACAATTAAATTTTGGATCTGAAAATCTTGTCTCAATTAAATTATAGAAGAATATTAACTAATATAAGATGACAGAATAAGTAAATAATTCCCAAAAATGTTATGGTCACAGGACAATTTAAAAAAATTCATCGTTAAATAATATACTATTTTTCTAATTCTTAGAAGTAGCTTAACCAATGATCTTCAACCAACACTTCAATATTCTTCTTTACAGAATTTGCTTAATCTTATTTCTATGTCCCTCTAAAATTACACTGTTTGACAGTTGCTGAATGATTTGGTGCAGAATAATTAAGAGGCTTTCATGATATAGTAAAAAATGAAATATAATTGTTTGGTAATTGTTTAAAATGAATTTAGGGCGCTTAATGGTTAAGGGATGCCCAAAATACAAAATCATTCAGAGAGTTTTAGAACCATTAAGAGACAAACTTTTTTTGTCAAACAAGATTCACCTTTTAATGATACAGAGATGGTCTCTTAATAAAACTATTAAGAGATAAACAAACAACCCATAATGTACACACTAAGGGGCCGTTTACCCAAATGCTTACCCGGTAATAATTTACCAATAGAAGTCAACACTATAATTTATTTAGATGCGTAAGATTTTAGTATATCAAAGTATATTGAATGCAACAATTTGCTAGGTAAGTGCTTACCTGAGTAAGAGTCGTCATCCTCACTTACGAGGTAAGACTCTTCATCTTTCTCATTGCTCTTACACGATAAGCTTCTTGGTCTTTCTCATGTTTATCCGATAAAAAAATTATGCATTAAGGATTTACCAACCAACTGTTTAGTAAAGGGTCCCTAATTAACAATTATTGCTTTTTAATAAAAAAAATATTTTATTTAATTGAGATACAAAAATCTTTATGCACAAATATCGATTTCAATCATTGGATTTGTTTTAGGTTTCCCAAAAATGGTGCTTTCACAATTGCTCAATCTCCATGTTTTATCCTTGAATTAGTTTTGTTAATCAAAATTAGTCCACATACTTAGTACTTGTTAAGCATCCTTATTAAGGTTGTTAGGCGAATCTTCTGGATAGTTGTTTTTTGGACTATTAGTATTTATCTATGGTCTAATTACGTGTATATTCCATTTTTTTACACATTGTTTGAAGAAAGATGCATACAATGAAAAAAAACGTGTTTAACGATCATTTTTAAAAATATTTTATGGTTTGAAAGTCGGTCTATAAATAAAAACACTTTTGGCTATTTTATATTGATATGGTGTTTATTACAAAAAAGTTATAACTAGTCTAGAAAACATAGTTGCCGGCACAAAGGGAATGTTTGACAGTTGTTGAATGATTACACGGTCAGAACGATTACGCGGTCAGAATGATTAAGATGCTCTCATGATATAGTGCAAAATGAAAGATAGTTATCTGGTAATTATTTTCAACGAAATTAGGGTTCTAACTGGTTAAGGGAGTCTCATGGTACAAAATCATTCAGATGATTTTAGAATCATTAAGAGGCAGACTTTTTTTTTGCCAAACAAGATTTACCTCTTAACGATTCAGAGACTGCCTCTTAATGGAACTATTAAGAGGTAAACAAACAACCCCTTAAGACTTCGTAAATTGTAATGGGTTGAAGGATCAATTTGTAAAAGTATAATCATTTTAGGGCAGCTCCAACCTTCACACAAAAAAAAACACCAAATAGGTGGGCCCATAAACACCAAAAGAAAACTCAACTCCAACCTTTTGCTGTCCATTTCTTCCACGGCAAATTTGCCGTTCATTTCCTTCCTCCGGCAAAATTTTGGTGTATTTAGCGTGCGATTGGATCCAAAAGAACGACAAGTTTTGTCGTTCGATTGAAGTTGCTCTTGGGGGCTATTTATGTTAAAGGAATAGTATAGGGTTAAATTTAAAGATATGGTAATAATGAAATGACGAGTCTTGTACTTCACACCCTTGCAGTTCGCGAAAGAAAAGCTTGAATACGACGACCACCAAGAAATCGGATGTCTCGATTCAAAATTTTACCCACCTTCATGTTAATCAGGTACAAATCCTTCACTTATCTTGATACATGTTTCACGAATCACTGGTAATCCGTCTTTAATTATTTGCCAATTTTACATTGTTTACTCAAATCAACCATTCAGATGAGTATATTCAAGTGCTTTTGTATCGAATTGTTCGTCTGGTTAACCCTAAAACGACTCTGAACTTTGATGGTTTGGTTGTTCTTGATTAATACCCCACTATTTTAATGGTAATAGAGTTTTAGTTAGACTTCAAACCCACTACATATAAGATGCGAAATCGATGTGGGTTTGGTAACTTTTTTACACTTCAATGTGTTGACAATTTTTTTCTCAGAACTTTGATATAATGATGTCCATATGAAATAGAAAGCATATTCAATCATTTGCACATATATGTTGCAGAAAAGTTTGAAGTTTTTTTTGGATAAGGTAGAGATCATGAGTTCATATCCTGCAATTTTGTTTTTCCAACTATCATAATTGGATTTTTGCTGCAAACAAATTACTATTCTTACGAAATGCAAAAGAAACACTACTTTTTATAGGAATAGCCGATACCGTTGGATATGTATAAATGCAAAGAAAAGCATGTTACTTGTCTGCTCCTTTCCGGAATTGTGGTGTTGTTTTTGCAATTTCATAGAATCATAGTTTATATACAACACACTGATTTGTCTTTTCTGGTCTTGTGTGTATATTGTACAGCAATGGGTTGATGTAGATGGTGTATTATGTATATCGTCTCACTATGTACATGATAATTGCAATTGTTTCTTTTCTTTATTGCATTTCCTTTTCCAGAAAGTTTTCGTGTTAAATTACCTACTTGGTCGTTATCATTATTGATTTGGGTATTGGAGGTCCCTTTTATTTTGTTTTGTTGAAGGACATTTAGATACTTTTGCATGTAATCCTCCTTCCAAAGATGGAGTTGGCTTTTGATTTGAAATACAAACCTAGTGCTTTTCTAGTGCAAGAATCATAAATATTGTAGTTTCTTAGCTCCAAAGTTTTTACATGGTAGTAATTATCAGTAAAACTGAAAGATAAGTTTTATAGCACAAGAATGAGGCTTAATGTGATTTACGGGTAGAATGCCGGTCATCAAAAGACAGGTACACAAGATGAGTGTAGAAGAAATGTTGGTGTTGGGGTGGATGTGGATGTGGATAAGAACTAGAAATGGGGATATTTAAGAGAATACAAGGCTAACTTGTGGAAGAGAAACTAAGGGTCTATTAGTTGTTGCTTATGAGCTTAATGGCTTGTTCGTTCAACCATTAACCAGTGTTTGTTTTTTTTGCTTAATGCTTATTCATGTATTTGTTGTTCATATTCAGTCTTCTTATCCTAGATAGATGTGATTAGAAATAAAATGAATATAAAACCGATACAACATTGCTAGAGATGGTGTTTGGATATTTGGATGCCTTTATGAGAAGTTACTGTTGAAAAAACCGTTATTGTTGGCATGGTATAACAAACATATTAACTGTATTGCAAATAATAGATAGAAATAACTTGATGTTACAACAAATCTGAATTCTTCTGAGAGGTCCAACTTGGTAAGAAAGGCGGTGGATGGAAAGTGAATGGATATAACAAAAGAGATTTGAAGGATTAAAATATATCATGAAATTTGCTCTTGAGAGTATGGAAAAATGCTATTCATGTTTTAATGCCTGCCTTGGTTGTTAAAACTCTTCTTCTTTTTTGTAACTTTTTAGTTTATGACGGAATTTTAGCCTTCCTGCCTACCCTAAAGCAAAGCATTATCGTTTTTGAAGTTAAGAAGATGCCATAGTTAATTGTGAATTTATCATCAATGCATATCCTTTCTTTTTTTTTTCTCTTTTTTGAGTATTTCCTGATTTTTTTTAAAATTTTGCTGTGAATTTATCATGGGTAGATAAGGCAACAATGGCTTCAGCAGAAGGTAGGGCTAGGTGGTTTCATTACGCTAATCATTGCATTGTTCAAGAAGATTACAAGGGGGTTTCAGGACCTGGTAGCCTACCTCCGTCTTCATCTAAATCACAATCAGAAGAGAGTCCTGGTGATGGAGCCAACTCATATGACTTCCTGGCTGACACCAAATGGTGGTTATGCCCGCAACCTAAAGATAATGCTACTTCTTTCTGGGAACCATCATGGGAGACCTTGAACATAGAAGAATTTGCAAAAATCAAGGAACTTGAAGCGGTAATTGGTGACACATCACAGAAAAAGCCTAGTCAAGATGATCATCTGCTTATATCTGAAAAATCTGAGAAGCTTTTTTCTGAAATGGAGGCCCAGTTAATCAGAATCAACAAAACTGAACCATGGTGGCGCACAGCTGACTTGAACGACTTGGCTTCCTTTGTTTCTGATAAATCGGTTGAGCATTTTGACAATTCTGATCTTCCACGACCTCAGATAAATAAACCAGGTCAGTGGTTTGTTCCTGACAAAGGTTTGGCTTCCTTAGATCAGGTTTCCAATTTTGCAGGCTCCATGCCAAGAATTCCCACCTCAGTAGGCATAAGTCAATCACACAGTCTTTCAGGTGCCACAGGATGCTCACAATGTGGTTTGGATGTTCCATTAAGGTAATACTTCACTAAGAATATGTTTGGCACACTAGCTGTTGGCTGATAAGCTGACTGATAAATTAGTCATGCTTGGTGAAAATTGGCTGTAAGCTAGCTGTTGGCTGATAACCTAACTAATTAAATAGTCATGCTTGGTGAAAACTAGCTGATAAAATAGTCATGCTTGGTGAAAACTAGCTGATAAATTAGTCATGCTTGGTGAAAACTAGCT